GGGATGAGCCGGTGAGTTTTCTTGACTCAACTTGAATTGGGTTGTCATGATGATACCTTGCTCTGAACATGTTCGTCATATGACGGACGAAAGCTTAGCACGTTTTCACCGGAATCGAAGGAGATTCCCTTGGAAACAGCGTCATCATGAATGTTATGGACAGTTGGTCAATAGGAATCCACCGTCGTCTTCTGGTGTAACCGACCTTCGAATCTCTTCACCCAACACTTTCACTCGAAATGGAAGTAAGCTCAACAATTCCGGTCATGTAGTCATTCTACCTTTGCTTCATCGACAAAATCCTACTACACTATTTATGTAGGCATGCGTGAGTGTATGTACACAAAAGGATGAGCCTTGGTTGACATTCACCACTTCACTGCGGCGGGACTATCTGTTGGACTACACCGACCAGAGTTCGAGTCTCGTGCCAAGTCTTGCTGAGGCCTGTACGAGGTCGGAACTGGTGTCTGTAGAGCATGGCTAAGTGTGACATTCACCGGAAACATGAGGAAAATGAGAACAACCAGTCCTTCATCGCTTCAAGCAAGATATGGTGAATACATTCCATATTCTGCTAATTAGGCCATTCCAGATGAATTAGGGCCTTATCCTTCTTCCTTCGCGCATCCCAATCTATGCATTCGTCTATCCACTCAAACAAACGATCATCAATCTGGCCAAGTTTGTGCATAGTCTTTTTTGCATTTATTGTTCACCATTCTCTGGTTGCCTTCGTCCGCATGACGTCAACGCCTCTTCCCTTTCTTCAACAGTTGTCTGGCGCTTCCGGCCACCTCTCCAGCCAGACCGACGCCGGTCTGCCTCTACCAGACAGCTTCAGCTATACCCCGCGTCAGGCCGACCTTGACGCCGGTCTGCCCAGTGCTTCTCTGCCATCCACGGCTGGCGGCGCGTACAACCAACCTGCTAATTCGACCCCCGACACCACCATCTACACCAACGGCCAAGAGATCGCCGAGGCAATGGCCGGCCTAAAGATGGTACAGGTGAGGCTTATTCATCGTTCTTTCCAAGCCTTGGACGTCAGTCTAGTCACCGGTTTCATGGCCTGTCAGGCTACCTTTATCTTTTTCGTCTATAATTAGGCTTTCGAGACTACCGGTAAATCAGTTATTTGAGATGATATATTCTCGAAATCCTACTTTTTAAGAAAAAATAAGTAAAGAAGTTGTTTGACCTTGTTTTCGCAACTCTGAGAAACGCACCTTGTCCGGAGTCCATTGTATGCATCATCATTTCCCAATTGGGACCTTGAACGTGGTACATTCCCAGACGTTTCGCCGGCATCGTCAGTGAGTCTCGCCATTATTAACACCATACAACAACGCGTCAAAGAGACAAGTGAAGCCGATCCTTTGACCAAACGTGTGCTAAACAATTGTGATATCTGCCCTTCCTACCAATGTGGCCATGTTGCGAAAACAAGGTCAAACAACCTCTGAGTCACTTAAGACCAGTTGCAAACTGGAAAATTCGGCTGGGGGACTTTATGAATAGTCTTACCGGAACCAGAAGAAGGCATGCTCTGTAAAAAGAGACTGTTGGATCATGCAAACAAAGTGACGCCTCGCTAAATCTAGGCTTTTTTCCGATTGTCGCTTAAGCAAAACGCACCAACACGTTAACCAAAGAAGGTTTCTGCATCTGATGGTGTCTGTCAGAGCAGAATAGACGGAAGTTGAGCATATAGTAGTCAGGGCAGCTGAACGGTGAACTGAGGCTTATTTGCCCAATACAACTGTTCCTTTTTCCGTTTCCGATGGGACCAATTAACAAGGGCATTCTAACTGAAAAATCGAGTCATTCAATTTAAGGAATTACAGTGAATGTCGAACGTGTCGAGATCTTACGCTGCACTATCACGACTCTTAGCACCACACTACAACTCGTCAAAGAGACCTGTCTCTT